TTCACACAGAATGTAAGTCAAATTATTGCAACACTTTTAAATTTATAAAAACTTTCCTTTTAAATATTAATATTCCTATAGATGGAAAGCATCATCATAAAAATATTGGCTACCGATAAATATAAAAAAATTTACGGCAATTGGGTATGTTTATCCTGTAGCGATGGATGGCAAAAAGAATATGATAAGATAGAACTTGTAGAGTGTCTAAAGAAAGTGCCAAGAGACATGAAATTTTTTTCGTCGAACGTTGCGTAACTGGCTTTCATATGAGAATGATTTCCAGTTTTCATTTATACATGTACATTGTGCCACCGGAAACTCAAGATGTTCGGAATGTAAGCAAATCAATTAGTGTATGTTATTTTTGAAGTGATCTAAATACATATTTCTAATTAGAAAAAGCCCGACGTCGAGATTATTTGTCATTTAGTATGGAATAACTATTATAGAGTATTCGGTTACTGGAAAAAATGTGAATTAGCGCCTATACCTGGATATCGCTTGAAAAAATTATTGATTTAGCTCCAGGTGTTGATTTGGAAACAGATGAGGATTTTTACACGCAAAAATGCAATTGCTGTAAGGGGATCAAAGATAATATAAGGAGCTCTATTATGTTTTACAAACCTCTTGTATTATCACCCGGTGGATCTCAACATAAACGAGGATTATGCGCAAAGTGCAAAAGTGGCTCTCTTTGTGGTGATGAAACTTGGTTATAATTCATAATTAGTTGAAATTTTTTCATTATCGTTATCAATATGTTGTATATGATCGTCACTTTCTACAAAATTTAAACCATTGGCTAATGCTAATGAAAAATAAGCATGGAAATATTATCATAAGATTTATTTACTTCTCTCTTACAAATGATATACAAAACTACACGAGAAATCAAGGGGTTAAAAGACATGTGGGATTAATTAGTAAAGAAAATGTTAGCCCCTTCTATTAAATAAAAAAATAATTGGTGGCACATTAGTTATATAGTTTCATTGGTCCGCAACTGCTTCAGATATTGTGTCCAAAGAAAATATGCCATCAATCTGGCAATCACCGTTCATATCATCTTTAAAGCTATCTCCATTTGTAAAAGTTTCTACTGAGCTTATGTCGTTAAATCTATAATGAATGGTGGAGTATATACATAAATTGCGTAATCCCTGATCGCGCTTGTAACATTACTTGAGATCGTACGTACTGCTATTTTCATCATCATAATCATGAGCGGTTTCATTGATATGCTGTGTATTCAGGCACGAGTGCCATTTCTCCTGAAACTAACCCCATACTTGATCTCATGATAACTAACTACATGTATTTGGCGAATTCATTGACAACCGTCATAACTGGACTAAATAAAATCCTTGCCATAGCCAATAATCTATCAAACATTTCACAAACAATCGAGGAATCATCATAACGTCAGAAAATATTAAGAACAATATGACACAAAATATGGTGGTGTACACTGCTTATTTTTTTGCATTATGGCTAGAGTGATTTGCCAACAAGCGTTGAGAGAGAAAGTTAAACAAAAAAAAATAATAAAGTAAATAAATTATATGCCAATTTTTACTGAAATTGTATAGTTCGAAAAGGATAAATATGTTAGAGAAATATAGAAGATTCTAAATAAATAATCTAATTCTCTGTATTGGTATTATATTTCAGAACTAAATATATAGTATTGCTAAAAATAACAAGGCGCTTTCACTTTTTTCTTCTCATAAGCAAGGAATATTAATATTTAAAAGGAAAGTTTTTATAAATTTAAAAGTGTTGCAATAATTTGACTTACATTCTGTGTGAA